GGGGGCAGGGGCGGCACCGGGGACCCGAGCGAGCAGGCGCCGCTGTCTTGCAGACGGCGCAGGGCCAAGAGGGCCCCGAGCTGGCCCCGGCCGACGCGGAGGACCCGTCGCTGCAGGGGGCCCCCCAGAAGATGAAGCTGGAGATGAAGGAGAAGAAGGACAAGAAGCAGAAGGTGGACGAGGATGAGATCCAGAAGATGCAGTACGTGTGGTGCGGTGCGGGGGGACTCGTGCTGGAGGCCCTGGGGGCGGGGGCGGGTGCTTCCCTGGGCCTGGGGCTCCCTTTGCCCCCCTGGGGCGCGTCCACACGAGCGCGCACGTGCAGTTTGCGGCGCTGCAGATTTGATACCAGCATGTCCTGGTATCCAGGAAAAAAAAAAGCTGCCACAAAAAGCGGCGCGGTGCGTGTAACAGCAGCGTGCGCCGTCGGAAACGGAGCCGTGCTCCGCGCAGCTGGATGGGTGCCGCTGCTGCCCCGGGACCCGGTTTGCCGTGGGCCGGAGCGCGTGTGCAGGGGCGCGCCCTGGGGCACAAAGCAGCAGCGCAAATATATGCCACTGCTGCTTGTGCTGGGGCAAATGCACACCCCTGCATGCGGGAATGTGCTCCTGAAGGAACGTGGTGTCCATCTGCATGCAAAACTGAGCCTAATTGGGGCCCCTTTCTAGCTCCGCTGCACCCAGCCTCCTTCTGGAGAGAACCGTGGCCCCTGCTACACCTTACGTCTGTGACAGAGTGCACGGGTGAGTCGTGCAATAAATGTGGGCTGGCCACATGCACCAAGTCACGATCGCATGTTTTGCTGGCAATAGATGTAGACTGGCCACACGTGCAAAGTCATGTTTGCCCCACAAAAGTGTCCATCCAGCTATAAAAAGAGCCAACCAGCTTGCAAATGTGTAATGACTCCCAGCTGGTTTTTATCCAGCTTTCATTTGAATGTGGAGCAGGGCCCTATCCTGAGACCCCTTGTGTGCAGATAGTGCTAGCTTTGTCCCGAAGGTAATAGTCATGGGGCCTTTGTATGCTTCTGCTCTTCACCAAGTCTCTTGTGCCACAATGGAAGAGAGATTGGGATAGTGTTCCCTAAAATGTCTAAGTTGCCCTAGCTTCTCTTACTGGGGGGTTAACTGAAGCTATGTGCATAGTTACTGCAGAGCAGCCAGCGCCTGATAAGTTTCTATCCCCTGTTAATAGCAAGTAGGAGAACAGCTTGTGCATCTGCAATTATACTGGGGTAAGTGAAAACTAAGCCAGGGCAGTTTTGCCCTGTTGCATTCAAGGGTAAGCTGCCCTAGTTTAGATCTCACCATGGAGTAATGAGAGCACAAGGAGAGTTGCTGTGGAGCTGCTGCAGTGTGGTAAATCCATGCACACACAAGTCCAGGCACATACCACGTGCCTTTAATAAACAAGAATGGAGATGAGCAGTAACTATTTGTTTGCCTGTAGATAGAGGAGCTAAGTTGCTGTGGTTTAGTTCCCACTCACAGGGTTAATGCAGGCAGAGGGATAAGCTTAGCATGGAGCAGGCACAGTAAAAGTCCTGTCTCTGTGAATTGTAGGCTAAAGGAATGTAAAGGTTTTGTAGGGCTTATGACTTGGAACAGTTGCCCTAGCTTATGAATGTAACAGAACACCTTATACCAGTATCATATCCTTATGATTTAAATGATGTGCATCCACTCCTGTGGCACTGTAAGGGGAACTACACCACTAAACTAAACCTGAATGCAGCTTCAGTGACTTTGTGCTCTCCTACCCAGGTCAAGTGAGCTAGAGGGTAGTAAAATCGGAACAACCGATGCATGATCCTAAGCAGCAAATAGGTCACTTCCCCACCCCACACGCCCTTTGTAACACAGTAGAAAGTTGCATCTGTTTAGTGTCTCTGCTTCATAATGTTAGCTAAAGTGATATATGCCTTTGAAGTGGCAGATGCTTTAGGATTAGTTAATTGATGTTAGGGATATGTTTGATATTTTTTTGAGGCTAAAGAAATTTTTTGAAATTGTTCTGCCATAAGGGCTAATTTCCTTTCTTCTTCAGAATACTGGTGTCTTCCTTTTCTGAAGAGCAGCTGAATCGCTATGAGATGTATCGTCGTTCTGCTTTTCCCAAGGCTGCTATTAAACGGGTGAGGCTCTGCTGATATTCAGGCTGCAGAGTGAGGGATCCCACTTACTGCACACGTAGAAATACAGAGCAAAATACATTCCTTTTCCTTTTCATGTCCTGAGAGCGCATTTAGCAGAATTTACAGATTTGTTGGAATCTGACAGGGATGTGCCATGAGCACTTCTGCTATGGCCTGCATGAAAGCAGTAGATTGAATATCACTACAAGTCTGGTCAGTCTGAATAGATGAGATTTGAATGGCAGAAGAACTGCCAACCCACCTACCTTGTTACTTGCTTTTTAAATTGGTTCCCATCCTCTACTCCCATTGACTTCAGTAGTTGTTGCTCAAACTTAATATTTTTTGGTAAGAATCTATACAGTTATAGTGAAACTTCTCTTGGTTAATTGCATCTTCTCTTTTCTTAAGCTGATCCAGTCGATTACTGGCACCTCAGTCTCTCAGAATGTGGTTATTGCCATGTCTGGGATTTCCAAAGTCTTTGTTGGGGAGGTGGTAGAAGAAGGTGAGTAAAAGTGGAATATCTTATAGGCAGAGCAAACTAAGCACTTACCCATTCACTTTAAATAACGAGTTTGCTTTTAAGGGACCTTTTGTCATGCCATCTACTTGAAGGAATTAGCTCAATGTTCTTTTTGCAGCAGTCACTCTATCCTGAATTGAATCTGTTCAGGGTGATAACTAGGTTTCCACTAACCCAGTACTTATTGGTAAGGAAGCTTGAACAAAAGAGAGGGAAGCCCACACTAATAAAATTCAGTGATATGGCGAGTTTACCATATCACCATGGAACTTAGTATTGAAGGACAATGTAGTTGTCATGCACGTACCTAGTTTTTACATATAGACATTAAATTCCTCAAGAATGACCACTGCCTGCCTTCCCACCCCCCCCCAATTTTGTTGATCCTTGTTGTGCCTGTAGTTGGTAGCTCATCTGAGGCAGTATAATTGTGTCTGCTTGAGCTGTCTCTAATGAAGGCTGCGTATGGCACTTGCAGCAACATTAATGCTGATACCAATAGCTCTTTTTCTGTTGCAAACTTGAACTCTCTTCTTCCTGTGCACATAATGATCCTTGCACATGCTCCCACAATTAACCAACACAGGGAGGACTATTTTTTTTAAAGTGGGGTGGGGGGAGAGTGAGTAGTCAGGGTATATCTAGCTCTGATACACCAATAAAATGTTTGGAAGTGCAGATCTCAACAAATTCTAATCGGTTGTCGGAAATGATTTTGAAGCTAATGACTTTGTGTAGTGGCAGCTTCATAATGAAATAACTTCAGAAGCCTTATTGTCTGTTGTCTGATCCACATTGTTTTCTTGACTTTTGTTTTGGTTAGCACTGGATGTGTGTGAGAAGTGGGGAGAGTTGCCACCTCTTCAGCCCAAACACATGCGTGAGGCAGTCAGAAGGCTGAAGGCCCGGGGCCAGATCCCAAATTCCAAGTATAAAAAAATCATCTTCCAGTAAAGTGGGCAGGAGAAGGTGGAAGAGGAGCACAAAGTCTTCAGCTGTATATGATGTAACTTTGAAGTTGGTTCCATCTTCCAAGCCTGATGCACTTCCAAAATCCATTCTAATCTTGTGTCTGCAGTCTTCTCCAAACACACCAGAACCACAAGAAACCCCATGGCAAGAGTGCAACTAAACTGAGTTCACAAAGCCTGAGAAGCTGGCTGTAATGCTGCCATGAACAACTTGAGTATGGTAGATGGTTGGTAAGAAGAGAGAAATTAATGGAATGGATGATGTTACCATAGAGGTAACAGTCTTGTTAAGCTGTTTTATTCTAGTATTAAAGAGCTTCCTGTACTGGAGGCCTGTGTATTGTATCGCCTGCATAGAGTGCTACTTTAGGCAAGGACTTGAGGGTCTGGTTTGAGTTAACACTGTATTAGTACCAAATTTGGAAGTTGCCGACTCAAAGCCTTTGTGTCTTACAGTTGTGGTTGGGGGAAAGAGCCATGACCTTCAACACAGAAAGGGACAAAACATTTAAAGGGAGGACCCTGAAAGGCTAGGAACAGCTGCTGCTGCTGCTGCTCTAGCTTCCTGTACAGAAAGGGTGGTTTTGTATAATGAGCACTCATTAAACTTGGTGTTGTGTTATGTTGCTACACTTAGTCTCTTTATGTTGTATAAGCTGTTTGTGTGACAGCAGTTACTACTGAAGGATGAGTTGTTAGCAGAAACCAAGGGAAAATACAGCTGGACAGCACTGTGCATTCACTACCTTGGTGATTTCCTGAGGCTAGTTTGACAGCTGCAGTTTCCCTCATTTGTCATCTGTCAAATGCTCAGAAATCAACACCTTAGAATAAAGAAGCTGACCACGTAGAGTAACACAAAACACGAGTAAGTAAGGTTAACAAGTTTAATTTTTTCCTTTTAACTTGGTTCATAGAACCAATACTCACTACTGGAAATGTTTTACTGCAACAAAGTTCCAATACTGACCAGGACTCGAATTCAAGTCATACGTGTAAAGTACTGTACCTAGCCACACTATACCCCTTGCTCGAGGAGGCTTCTTCTGACAACTTTGTTACTAAAAACTCAAAAGTGATACTGAGGCCACATGCATTCCATAGGTAACAGCAAGACTGTTAAACCAAGGATTAACTTGGCGCTCACTGTAATGTAGAAAAGTAGAGTCTTTAAACATGTCTCCACTAAAGTAAATTTTCTTTTATAAAACTATTTATTTCAGTAACTCCCCTGCCCTGTTCTGGATGCACCCTTTGCAGAGAGGAAGTTTGTATTGTACATATATGTCACCATGAGGCCTGGGGAAGAAAGATGCCCGCATGGAACTTAAATTCAAATAAATAGAAGCACTCCAGGCTTTTGTAAACCTAATGATACATGAATGTGAGCAACTAACTTGCTACAGGCAATTGAAACCCAGCTCTGGTCAGGCTGCACTGGGGGAAAGGAGAGTTCAGTAGCTTTGTCACTGCAGTTAGGCACCAGTTCGAGGCAAACCCATCCAGCATTACTCCTTTCCCAAGCTGGCTGAAGACTCAGCAGAATATCCATTCAAACAAAGGAGTCACAGAAGCTGGGGAGAGACCCTGCCCTCCCGGTTCAAGCAAACAGTGAATCAAAACAAGTGAGAACAGCATCACGCCTCACCAAGCAGCACTGGCAGGCATAATTTTACCTCCTGCTTCACGAGGAAG